GGTGCGGCTATAAACGACTGTTAAATGAAATGATGAATTTTTGAAGGATTTTGAAAACGGAAAAAATGATAGTCATGCCTGTCCAGCATCATCAACATTGAAAAATACCCCGGCATGAAGTGGTTAACAGTCCTGCAAATACATTTTTACTAAGACTTGGATTCCATTTAACCTGACAGAAACAATGTTCTTTTTAATCAACACATACTATGTTTGGATTGATCAACGAAAGGTAATCAGCTCACAGTTCCTCACCTGCAACATTATTGGGAGAACAAGTTCGACTAAATTTGTTTGTGTATCTGCCACCATTGGGCCAATTTAGCACCATAGAAGCGTCTTATTTGATATCATCAATTCGTTGTTATATCACAGTGAATGAAGACAGGTTTTCTTTACAATGGATGGATGGGTAGCTTACCGATGGACTGATTGACAGCTTTCATGCAGATGTTGTCGTAGTGCTGTTGACCGGCTGATTTGCCGTCAATCGGGGGCTGATCAAAATACAAACAATAAGACCATGCTTTTCTTTAAGCCTAACAGTGTGGAAAATCTTGTATTGGAGACATCTTTACCACAGATGCCAACTTTTGAAAATGAAAATGTGTAATCCTATCGCACTTCCAGTTCCGATTTCCCGACCGACCCAAAATTTTTGGTGCAATCCTAAAAAATCAGCAATTTAGAACAATTTCTTTTTTAAATCCTGTTGTCTTTCTTTCAAAACAAACACCTGTCAACAACTTCTTTTCATGTCAAAGCACTTGTATTTACCTGACTAGCATTGTGCAAGTGTGAATTGTAATTAATCTTTGATAATAATTTTTATTTTAATCACTTTTGTGGCAATCTTTACCAACTTTTGTCACATCCAATCAGCACAGAAGATGGTAAAAAAAATCCTTACCTACCAACCCTATTTAATCAGAAGCAGTACATGTACAATGCATGGACGTACACAGTCACGTTGCATTTGAAGTGCAATTGTGCCTATTCGCCCATTCCTTACCTGAAGAAGTTATCCAACCAAATTTCAAAGCATAGCATTTTATCAGAAATAAAAACTTATTTTCTGCCATGAGTATTCTTCGCCAACAGTCAGCAGAACCATGTACAGGTCCTTGGCTAGTAAGCCACAGGTCAGGAGTCCAAATCTCAACTGATTTAGCTGTTTGCCAGATCACTTCTCAAAGTCTTCCACCAAGACTCACCATAGTGGCATTGAGGTAGTCCATCTTTTCCTTGAGTTCAGGAGACTTGATATTGGCGTAGGGAAGTCCAACCATTATGACACACCTGCCAAGAGAATGAACCCAAACAATTATCTTCCTCAAATCCAGAGTAACTTAAAAACCGCAGAGCTCCCAACATTCAGATTTCAAAAATAGCACTTTTTATAGCAGCCAACAAGTTTGTTCTTTTACTTTACTTTCATTTTCCTGAACACCGCGTCCATTTTATGGTACATTCCTTTTGAAAGTTGTGCAATACAAAACCCCTTCAATGAACTTAGCGCACTTAGGATGCACACAGACTCCTGACCAATCAGACCTGATCAAACTGTCTTGTATCCATGTGAATGCGTGATTTACGTAGCAGGCATTATCACTTCTCAGCGGGCATTATCAAATGTTAATACACAGTCACATGACGCATTTCGACCAATAGGAATTGAAAAACTGTCCCAGGTATTTATGAATTGCCGTTTCAATTACATTGAACCAAAGAAAAGCCCCGCTCATGTATTTGATATGAAATACTGCAAATGAAAATAAATCGAAGCCATTTTCGATGAAGACTTGAGAGTCTCTTTGATTAAGATGAATGTCTGGGACAAAAACCCAATGCCGATACCTGCCCAGGTCATCAGAGAAGTTGATCCCCTCGCTCATCTTGGCACCCACCACGCACAACAAGATGGCCCCATTCACAGATCCCCACGTTCCTCCTGAGCTACACTTCTGAAAGATCAAGAGGACCAGAATTGACAGTTAGTTCTGATATTCTGTAAAACTATAACCACTTGCCGTCAGGGTTGCCGGTACTGGAACCGTATTCTTTATACGCGTGGCCAGGGTCTCTGAAATCGGACAAAGGGAACTGGGTCTTGCAACAATAGACCATACTCATAAAAAAAGACCAGGCTGCTGCGCATTACTGACATTTTTTCACTCTCAATAGTGGAGATAAGCCAGCCTCGTTTTGAAACAGTTTACAACATTTGGGAGATTTAGCGCAAGCGGATTACCACCGGGGACAAAAGCGCTCCACCACTGCAGCGACGAGCCACACAGTACTGCTGCACACTAAACTGGCACCCAGTGAAGAGGTCAGCAGCGCACTGTGCCAAGTTCATGAACAAAAGAAAATTACATAACGCCGCACAATCTGGGCTCTCTTTACAAGGCAGCAGGCCTGGCTGAAATACTCGGGCATCAATAGATGTTGTCTGTCAGATTAGAGTAGAACCAGGCAGCCCTTCGTGTGGGTGTAAGTGTCCAGTAAATGAAGATAGGAATTTTTGAAGAATTTTGAAAACAGAAAAAAAAGAGAATTATCCCGTCCCAGCATCATCAACATTCATAAATGCCCCCCGGCGCGAAGTGGTTAAGGAGAATACTGGAGATATTTGACTATTGGTAACTGCACACAGATTCATTTATCACCCGTGGATATGTCATTCCAGAAGTTCAAAGCAATGTAAAATGTCACCATAAGCCTCCTGGTCAGGAGAAACATCATATGAAAATATTTCCATAAGCTATTAAAAACAGAACAGATATTTCACAATTGAGAAACCCTGCCTTTCCAAACTGAGTGAAAATAATTTCTCAAGATACTTGATATACATGTATTGTGTTCACTATAACAAATGGTTGATTCCAAACTTTATTCAAATATAACTCGCAAAAGGCTAATTTTTCTGGACATTTTCATTTCCATGAAAATGGCATCCAATGGCTTCTTCTTATTTATACATGCACATGCTCACAATTATATTAAATCTCACCTCAATGAAGCTTGCATACTGTCCCAGCACGAAGTCTGCCTGGCCGGCCTTTCGTGGTTCCCGGAAGACTCTCTTGCGCATTTCAATACGCTTGATCACACTGGTGCTGTCCCAGTGATTAAACAGTCGCTTCTCGTAGTCATAGGAAGGCAGGAAACAGACGATGCCACCGGGAACAACGTTGGACACATTGATAAGAACGCGTCCAACCTCGTCCATCTAGGAGAAGTAAATTATCATTTTACATGAAAAACCAAACCTAATTAAATTGAAATTATAAAAAATTCACAGCATTAACACCTGGTCTACTTAGTAAAAGTGCTCTTCTCATTTAGACCAGGTATATACTGTAGACCAGTTGAAATTTCAAGTGTTTTGAGTCTTTCAATCTGCAGTCCAGCCTTCTACACATTTGCATGTGAACTTCAGGAAACACAATATGAGAAAAATTAACTCAGCTCAGTACAGGCTTTGCATGGAGTCACCATGATTGTTTGTCAGGAGTGAGCGCGCTCACCATTTTGGGCAGGTCACGTGACTGGTAGGTGAAATCCAGCTCAACACCAGAGGGGCCTTTGGCCAATGCTATCGGCAGCAACTGCTCCGGTGGAATCACATGACCTGAAATCAACCCATAAACATGAAGTAAATCGAGCAAAATGAAAATCATACTGATACTTTGATGACCAAATAACTACTTCTAGTCTAACAGAATTAAGTCTGGTTTCCATATGGTTGTAGCGTAGACGGTTCGCAAGACGTGAAGACGCAGACAGGAACAGAAGAGATGGTGCATGGCACCATTCCACCCAAAAAATAAAACAAAATTGCATCTGAAACTCTGTATCTTTTGCAGAAAATACCCTCTTAGATTGACTATACTGCCTCATGATACCAAAACTGCACTCCAGTTTCATGTGTTTTGTCGATGGTCAGCTATTTTAATTGATAATATTATTATATATTAATTGTAATATTTAAGCATTAAGGAGAAAATGGTCAAAATCCGTGGAACTAAGCAAGAATGACATTGTTGCACGCCGATAATGCCAGCATGCTTGTTTGTATTGGGATACCACGGCTACTTGACATAGAAGCCGGCAAAGTTGAACCTGGCTCAACTTTGCCGATCGTTCACGGGTAGGTTTGCATTTGTCGGCGTTGTCGGCGACACCTCCATCTAGCATGTTTCCATATGTCCATGTTGCAGTTTGCGTCTTGATTGCATTGCTATCGATATGGAAACCAGGCTTTATTTCCAACTAGCCAGACACTCACACATCGAACTATTAAGAAAGACTTGTGCTGAAAAATCCTTTAATTGAAAAGTGGAGAAAGTGATACTTTGCTGAAAATGCACTCCATTGTATGATATTTCTTCCGACAAATTCAAAATTTTCAACACTCCGAGTAACCGGGTAAAATCTGCTACTTCAACACAATCTGCCACTACCGACTTCTCAGACTTTGTGTGTGTACAAATAAATGGAAGGTTAGCATCAGGCCGAAAGGAGTCAAGGCACTTGACATCCTGATCCATCAGTAATGACTGTGTATACAGATAGCCAGATCACATTTAAGTGTCCTCTGGCATGACATGGTAAAACGTGCACAAAAGATGCCATGCCAGACACCGAAGTCATGACTCATGAAAGCCTTACCGCATGAGAACTCCACGATTCTTCCTTCGTCGACGCCCCCGCAGTACAGCAACTGCTGCTTGAACTCGTCCACGGGCTGCATGGTGCCGCCGGCGACGATCACCGCCCTGGCTTTTTGCAGCACCTGCGTGAAGTGTACGGCCGGGTTGAGCAGAAGGAACTTGATGCTGCACTTGCTGAGAATTTCTACAAGAGACGGGAGAAGATAGAAACGCCACCATCCACTGACTGGAGAACTACACAAGATGCGTGAAATATTGGGCCAATTTCACAGAGCTGCTTTAGCATAAAATTTGCATATGTGCAAAAAACTTCCTTAAAAAGCTAAGGAAAGGCTTCAAATATTTAAACATCCAGAGTTTGGGAGGTAGATTGGCCACCCCAAAACCAGTATATTATGGATTTATCTCTCAAAAATTAACAGGAGAGAAATAAGGGGTGATTTCTTTCGACTGGGCCGATTTGGGAAACACACAAGGTCAAACTTTGTGTTTATGTTAGGTTGATGACGTCATTTGGGCGTAAGGCATAACAGGCATGCATGAAGCATGCATGAACATACATGTGAACTGGCATCGTTGCGGCCCAAATGCATTAAAATGAGTTTTGAGGACGTGTAGAAAATACACATTATACATTAATCTCAATGTATAAACCTAAAATCTTACTCTTAGCTGGTCAAAATAATTGTGAGATTTGTTCCCAAATAGAGTACAATACGTTGAAGGTGGAGAGGAACATATTTTTCCTGGCATACATGTGAGAAAGGACTCGTGTTCACGTGCAGTATGACTATTCGTTGAATAACACGGTCAGCGTAGGAGTCAGCACGGAACCTGGCAGTGTTGCGGGGCTGCTGTGACAGTCCCAAACCTGGCCGTGGTCCAGCAGCACAGCAGCGCCGTCACAGGCAGATGCAACACAACAAAAGCAGTGTGCGAGGCTTATGCGTCACGCTTCTAAATTCAGAGTGCTTTTGCAGACACTAGATAAAAAAATCTGGATATTGTTGAAGCAGTCCTGAAAAATCCTTGGCATATTAGTTGTATCTACGACAACTGGGAAGGTTAAAAATCAACCCTTAATGAGCTGTCCAGGAATGATCAATTCAACTCATCATTGCACGGAAACGTCAACACCGAGTCTCAGTGTACGAGAATCCTGTCCGAAACTACAAACTGCACAAGACCGGGGTATGTTTTATTTTATGACAAAAACAGAACAAATCATGCACTTAAACTTGATGGATGGAACAATCAACATAATGGACAAGAACCGCGCACTACGAGACTTGCATGAAAGATCCACACTGTTTACAACCACATCTCTCATATGATGTTTTTGGGTCACCGGTATGTCATTAACCCATTTTTTGGACATTGTTTCGGCCATAAATGGGAAAAGTGTTCAGTTTTTTTCATATTCATTTTGAAAGACTGTCTTGCCACCCATTGTTTACAGGTTATAATTGGGGAAAGGTTTTCTTTTCCCTATCTCTTTAATAAATAAGCTAAGGTTACCAGCAAATCTGTGTGTGATGTATGTTGCTTTGGGCTGGTATTTAGCTGTTGTTTGGTTAGCATGACAATCACATGGAATTTCGGCCAGTAACCTTGCTTTATTAAGCAAGGTTTTTTTCATCCTTAAGCAAATTTTGCGATTAAGCAGCTCTATGAAATCAGCCCCAGTATTGATGTGGATCTGGGTCAACAGATGCACTGTTTGTACTACTACCTGGGGAAAGTACTAATAAGTGGCAAGATTCCTGACTTTGCATTCCAAAGCCATTCATATAAGCTGAACAACCACATGTGCTTTTGTTCAAAGGTCAACGGTCAGAAAAATATCAGATGCTTGAGTGCAATTTTACCCTTCCGCAAAAAGAATCACGTAATGTTCTTTACTAACCAATTAAACCTGCATCTCCAACAAAATTCCACAAAATGCTGCACAAATATAAAATTAACATAAAGCACAGCTGGACTTTTTATTTTCAACTGCCACGGACGGCACTGTCCTACCTTGTTTATGGATGACAACTCTCCCGTCTTTGTCGGCGTTTGTGAGGGACAGCAGGAAGCCCTCGATGTGCAGGAGAGGAGAGGAGAAAGTCTGCCATTCCTCCTCCCTCCTGTCACTAGCTTCTGAAATTGCAACAAAAATTCACTGAAAACTTCTCTTCTCTCTAAACCTGACTCAGTTTTTACGTCCTGAAAGATCCCAAGAAAAAAAGGGGCCCGTTAACATGTATGTACAATCAGTGCAGAAACAAACACAAGCATGAATACATGTACGTGATAGAGTAAACAAGTTGCTCTGTATTTTATGTTGCACCAACACTCGCAAAGAACTTCAGAATTATTACTCAGCAGCTGGTATCCGTGCACATTGTCTAAGCCCTCATAGGCAGCCATTTATACACCTGGAGAGCGAAAGGCAAGTTGGGGTAAAGTGACTTGCTCGAGGATGTAACATTCTACCACCGCTGGATTTGAACCCCAAACCCAAATCTTGGGAGTCACAAACCCTAACCACTATAACCACACGCCCCATATGGAATCACATTGAAAGCCGAGGGGTTTTCCTCTCACCTGCAGAGGGCGATGTTTGCTTGTCTGTGGGTTTCTGGCTGAGTTCTTGGAGGAACCTGGTCATGGCAGACTGTGGTGGGGCAGAATCCGCCTCCGCTATCTTCACTGAGGGCTGGTACCGCTCTATAAAACCATTCAGCTGTACAAAAAGAAGTAGAAATGCAGTAGTGTCAATGCAATTTTGGTAGAGGAATAAAAAGAAATTATGTAAAATAATTTCTCACATGACTTGAACTTAGTGTTTCACAAACCTCTTGATTTAAAAAAACAATTGAATTTCCTTGTTCAAAACAAAATATTTCAAAAGGGTTTTGATTTTTAAGATACTGCAGGCAAAGTAAAGATAAACTAAGGATGGTAGCAAAAAATAAAAAACCAAACCAAAAAAGATAAAAGTAAGAATTTGCAGAATTTACAATTTAGAAAACAGTTATGAAGTTGGAAACACAAAATGTTGACTGATACCTTTCTGGAGATCTGGCTAACTTCACAATATTTCTGTAGCTGCAGATTGAAAAAAACAAAAGAAAAATGATGTGAACCATCTTGGTGGGGATCACTGAAAGATCACCATATCTTAGACAACGTGTTTCAATTTGGGTACATCAATTATCCCAAGGAAATGTGAGATCAAGATAAGGCTTGCCTGCCAACCTAGAAATAGAGTGTACATGCCAAACAAACTTTGAGGATGGAATAGGGGGCTTGAATTCAAGACTACCTTAAAGAGATTGATGTTGTCAATCTGTGTGGCAAAGAGGAAGTCATTGATGGTGTACAGCTGGCTGGTCTCTGGACCAGTCTTCTGGGTATCTGGCGGGCAGTCTACCTTGCCTCCCAGGCACCGGATCCAACCGGACAGCACCTGCAGAATCTGCTTGATGTACATCAGGTTCTTAGCCTTGAGGCGACTCCTGCAAAACCGCATTAAGAAACAGTGCTTTCTCAATCTCTTTGCATACAGGGGCTTGAGCTCCATGGTTCCTAGAGCCCGGTCTTACTAGTGTCAACAACCCTGTCTTTCATACAACATACACCAAGGGGATTCTGGGTTGTTAGCACTTTTAATGCTTGCATCCAGAATACTGCATGGTTTTTCTTGCACAATTCAAACCAGGCCGGGCCACGACACCAAACATTTACAGTGGATAGTGCACGCGAGGATGTACATCCTACATCACGATGGATTCCAGTAGATTTAGAGACCTTCCTTAATGATTTGTAGGAGGGCAAAGGGTGATTTTAACAAGAATTTTGCATACGCACACGTTACTCTTGATACTTGCAGGTGCAGGAAAATGTTGCGGGCCTTTCCCTTGTATCACATTGCGCGAACAATCAATGGTTACCTACATATATCTGCTAACTTGCTGCATAATGAAACAAGTATATTCCCAGGTCTACTCGTGAGTTTACTCTCGATGGCCCGGTGGTCATATTTCTACTATTTGTGCACTCAGGAACATATCTGTGTTAGCTCAAACCCAGTCCTTAAATTCTTTGGAAGGTGGTTAGCCCAATTTCCAAAGATTTTACAAACCGTACAAGGCCAGAAGGTACTCACCTATATTTTGTCATGTACTGATTGAGCTGTGAGTGGGCACGACATAGCTGCAATGCAGAAATGCATTATTACCATTACCAGTGTTTTGTGTCTCAACGATAGATAGCTCTGATGGCTACCAGTGATGCAACGCAAACCTTAAATGAGAGGAATCCGCTAATTTTGTGTTTGGATTTTGTCAAGCTGTCAGAAAAGCACTCTTAACAAATGTCTCTTTCATGTATCATCAGGAATGCAAAACAGCACCAACATTACATGTATTGGCTGAAATTGGTGGTACACAAGGAAAATAACTCACACACAATATGATGGCAACTTGTCATCTAAAATTTGAAACAAAAATAAAATTGCAGGATACTTGCATTCCAGCAGCATTTTAAATCTTTGCCACATGCATGCATTTATGAACCATGAGAGTTCAGATGTGGGCCTTGGTATGAATTATTGGTGACGATATCTCACCTTTGATGAACTGCTTGAAAAAATGGATACGTTTGCCTACCTGGCCTCCAGTCACCTCTACACTGTACACATTGGAGATGGTTTCAATGAGGTTGTGCGCCTCATCGATGATGACAATGTTTCCGTCCAGACGTATGCCGCATGCATTGCGAGTGGATTCGTGCAGGAGTGTATTGTATGGAAGAACGACAAGCTGAGAGAATTAACACCGAAACTCTTTTTGATGCATTCACTAAACAGTCTCAAAAGTCAGAACGTTTTCATTTTTACAACATACATCACTTTGGACAGGTTTTAAGAGGAAAAGTGTTATGGTATAAATTTTAAGAAAGGCTATTTCAGAGTTACAACAATGTAGCTAGCAATGTGCATGGGCAACCTACTGAGGACCCATGGCCTCTCACGTTAGTCTTTTGTTTCAGTCCACAGTGTACAACAAGTAGAGACTTGATGGCAAGAAACAGAAAGTGCTTAAGTTACAAACTCCTGCACTGATCATGTACTGTATGGTACTGAGGACCTAGTCTCCTCTTATCGTTCCTTGTGAGTCCTCGGCGTACAGCACAACTATAGATTTGATGGCAATGCATTACAAAGCACTACCACAGCAACCCTCTGCAACCGATCTGGCACTCTGTTTACAAAAGTATTTTTCTGGGGACCCTCTGTCCTCTTAAGTGTTTTTTTGCAAGTCTTCAGTGTACCTGTATGGCATAACCATAGTTTTGCAACAATTCACAACAAGTACTAAAACTACATACCTCTGCACCAGGGATGGCATATCGCGTGCCGTAGTACGGACATGCCTTCAACTCTCGGCCAACTTTCAGTAACTGCTCGAGGTCAAGCACTTCAACCACGGCTCTGTCCTTGAAGGAATCCATCTGGCTCGCTGCGTAGAATGGACAGCCAGATGTTGCCTCCTTCTTTCTCTTGGACTTGCCTGGGTCGCCATCCTTGTCCCTCATTTTCTCTGGTCAAAGTTGATTCAGAACAAGGTGAAAACACAATCAGAAGAGCATGGGTTAAGACAGCACCGTTGAAGTTGGTGCGTTCCCAGACTGAGGATGAGACCTCACATCTTAGCATGTAAAAACAGGCAGTGTCTTTGAGACTTCTTAATTTCCAATGGGCTCCACACACTGGGAAGACTCTAGCTTTTTCTGCATGTTGTTAGGCCTGCATGTTGGTCTCAAGAACACACACAAATAGAGCACATTAATATGACCCACCATCCCAAAACCAGGCTGTAGGTAGGTAACTTCATAACCATAAAACAGAGGAACTTCCACTCCTCAGATATTCATGGAAGTTTTATGGCTATCACTACCCGTAAGAGGCTTACTGCAGAGAGAGTTTCGATTTAACGTGGATCACTTTAAATTGTAAAAAAAGCTGAAGGAGAGGAATTGTCCCACATCACAAATACCAACTTTGGTATGTTTTGGTATGGCGGGTCACATTTCTGCACGTGGGTTATTTCAGCAAGTTGACCTCATATCCGATATGGAATTATAAGCTGAGTGACCTGAGATTCTTCAAGAAATGAAAGACACTGGAACCAACTCATGGTACAAGTGACCGAGAGAAGAAACTTTTCACAAAGGACAGCAGCATTTCTTACAGTGGCACAGTGTACATGGACAGGCAAGTTCCACTATGGCATTCCTGTACATGTACCATAGATGACGTATTTTCCACAAGCTTTTACGGCCTCCCCAAAACCAGTGTTCCTCTCAAAGTCTGAACATATTGGCTATCAAAATTACTTTGCCTTTCACTTGTAAAACTGAAGAAAAAAAAACAAAAAAGTGGCAACGAAATGTTTCAATGAAGAGAAACAAAGTGCCTGAATATCTCATGCGATTCACCTGAGGTCATTTCAAGCCAAAGTAATTGTAAATGTGCAGATCACCACACAGGGTCATTTGTATGCACATTCAATCATTTCAGACACACAGAAGCATCATTTCAAACATACATTTGTACCCACGTGTGTAAAAACATGACCACAAGTGTCTTAAATGCGTTAATATGGCTTAAATGCAAGTCACAATATCACCTAATATTGTACCACTTTACTTGTTCATGAATCAAACTCAACTTTTTAGCAATAACTTTGCTGGGGGAGGACATGTGTTGACTTCCCTCATTGTTAGTGCCAACATTTCAGCGTGTATGTGCTCAGTTATGCTGTTTATTAGAGCTCACAGGTCACTCATCAGGTGTGGTAACTGTGTGATCTTCAAGATGGCCACATCTTGAATGACAAACCACATTTGGCTGGGCCCTTCATTCATGGCTACATGTAATGAAATGGAAATTTTGAATGAAAGTCATGTAACAATTTAACAGCACAAGTAATTACGGCAAAGATCGTGAACACAGTCCTCTGTTCGTTTTCCTATTAATGACAACTGTTTGTAGACAAAACATTTGAGAGCAACTGGAACAAATGCCAACTGCATGTACTTTCATACTAATTTTCACTGTGGGAAATATTCTGACTTATCTGTTTTAATTTCTTTTTGAGGACTGCATCCTTGAGCTAGCCAGTCAGACTTAGGAATTCCACAGCCGGGTCAAACACATCCACAGCAAAGGTTTAACTTTTTAACAAGTTAATCTGCCCCTGTTTAGGAACAAGTCTAAATCCAGTAAAGTACTTTGATCTAGCAACTTGACTGTCAAAGGCCAAGACTGACAGAGGCCTAACAAAGGTTTTTTAGGAGGGGGTGGGCACAACCAATCTTTCCTGTTCATCCAAACTTGAGAATCAGTCATTAAACTAAAAGAACAAGTTTGTCATTTCAAAATCATACATTTTTAGGAAGAAAAATACATCAGCAACTGGGCATGAGAGATTTTAATCAGTTTGCAAGTTCTTGTCAGATTATTACTTTAAGCTGTTTTTTCTACATATACAACCAAGTCTAATAAATCTTCAATAAAGTCCACAACAGCTAGCAGCCTTGATTGCAAATCTGATGACTGACACGACTGTCATTCAGCAATCAACTTCACAATCCTGCTAAACAGAGATTTGTTCTTCAATACAAACGACGACAGCAACAGCAAACAAGTTGCATATGAAACAAAGTCCATTTGGTTTGCAGGACTAATAAAACTTTAGCGTGGGAGGATTGAATCTTGCAGAAGAGATTGACAAACTCAAATTACATTTTAATTGCCAAACTGGAGAGTGACATCCAAACGTGTTGGCTCATATCAATTTTAATGGTTAACACTGTAAACAGTATGTGTGAATAGCCAATCACAGCCATGGAATCCAGAGACTGGTTCCCTAGCAATACAATCGCTAGCCAATCGGCATGAGTTCTAACCCAACTGAATGCAAATTTGCCCCTTTATCAACCACACTCAACTTCATTTAGCACATTTCGTCAGCAAGGGATGAGACATGTTCACTGCATTACAACAGTTCCAGAGATAGTTATGGCCAATCTGTGCAGTTAGACTTAAAGTGGAAAATGGCCAAGCCGAAGCATTACTGTACATACATGTATGTTTAGAAGAGATGCTACGTTCTGTTTTGATATAAAATATTTTGGAAAGTGATTTGACAAATTATTTCAACATTTTAATGGACGGACATACCTCAAGACTCCAGTATTGAGGAGGTGTGCCTGAAGCCATAGTACATGTACACTTGAGCAAGTGAAAACCAAAAGCCATCTGGAAACTGTTAATAAATTGGGGCTAAGCGTTTCATCATGAACTCAACCCAGCAGTTTGCCAATCTGGACTTTAACAACGTATCTACCACACCTGGTAGCATGGTTGGAACAACAGCACGCGACACTGTCAACTGCATTCTTTTGGTGGTCTCTACCATTCTCCTTCTGTCATTAAACCCTTTGTGTCTCTTAGCTCTTAGAAGAGTTGACAACGTCCAGGAAACGACCAAAATATTTCTGAGATCAATCACGACTGCTGATCTGGGCGTTGGGATTTTTCTGGCCTTACCCGCCACTGTTGCTGCACTCACGCAAACTGATAATTTTGAAGTGAAAGTGCTTTGTGGTGTGCAGGCATTTGTATCAAAAGTGTGTATCTACACTACAACACTATCGCTTCTGTTCCTGACAGTAGACAGACTCATAGCCATAGAGTTGGCATTGCGTTACCCTTCTCTAGTGACTACAAAACGAGCACGAATCTTAGTAAGCTGTACATGGTTTGTTGCCACTTTGATTGAGTTGGGACATGCTACTGCAACACAGTGGACACCGGTCTACTCTGAAGGTGCTCTCTCCTGCGTGTTTTTCTCTGAGGAATCCCATGAAGCAAACCACATCATACAGATGTGTCTCTCAATAAGCTGTCTGTTGGTGGTACTGATAGCATATACCCGACTGTTTCTGATCTCGTGCAAGCACGCTAAGCGCATCGCTGACGACAACCAAAATGCTCAAGCTGCAATCGCAAGACCAGCAAATCGCATCCGCACCAAGACCTTGAAGACGGTGCTCATCATCGTGATATCCAGTTTTGTCTTCATCATACTGCCAATGATGTTTGGTTCTCTGCGACCATACATGACAGAAGCGACCGACCACATAGCATCCATGCTGATGTTTGTGCTGCCCACACTGACAAACAGCTGGTTCAATACTTTCATCTATTACCTCCGCAACAGGGAGTTTCGTCAGGTGGTACACCATCTCCTGGCATCTTCCTACCGACGCCTGAGAAGGCGTTTTCCTTGTTAAGCCTCCTGCTAAGGTAATCAGAGTAACCCGCTCCTTTATGTGTGTGTATAATCCCCAATCTGTGCTGATCAATCAGTTCTACGGAACTAGAGCGACGTGTATATGTACAAGTATTTGTGAGTACTTTGGTTGAAATAAGAGAGGATCTGGTTTCAATCCTACATGGTGGACTTTGTCAGCAAAAAGAAAGAAATTAGATATGATTTGACTTACTGGTCAGTACAAAGGTCATCTCTTTCAAAACTTGCTGTTACTTGAATGTCACACCACTGGTTACTCGCAACTAAAGACCGGCCAGGCACATATTTATTCCCTTTCATATATATCATTTTTAGTCAGAGAGTCAAAAGAATTATGATGGATTTCCAACAATTTGGTTCTAGAATTTTACTTTCATTTCCCTAAACACCCCAGTCCTTTTTATGGTATACTCCTTATGCAAGTTGTAAAATACAATCTCCTTATATGGATATGGTTCGTATGTGGAGAGCCAAGTGCACACAGACTCTTGACTAATCAGAGTCGATTAAACTGTCACATACATGTATCTAGGTGTCAGTGCATGACTTATGCAGTGGGCATTATCACTTCTCAGCAGACTTTATCAAGGTTAATACACAGTCAAGTTGCATGTTGTTGAATAGAGAGACATTCTGAGGCATTTACGAATACCATAGTTGTATAAACCTTGTGGTAGTTGTTTTTCTTGGCCCAAAGTCTACATCTAGAATTGATCATGCTTTAGTCTCTTCTACAAGCGGTAACAGTGTTGTCTCATGTGATGCTACAGACTCCTGTGTCTTTTCTGATCACAGTCCAGTTAAGCTTGTTCTTGATCCATGCTGTGAGCATTTGCATATTAAGGATAGACCTTATCCCAGTAGGTAGCAAAACCTCTTGTTGGAAAGCAAGTGAGCCACAACTCTGATTGGGTAATTGTTTTAAAGGAAAAGAGTACTTTTCGTAATTCTTATCCAGCTGGATTTAATTAAACAACACACCACAACCACTCACTGTACTTTTGCCAGGAACGGAGTTGCTTCACGTTATAACTTCAATCGGATCAATGTTCTCACAGTTTCATTGGACATGTGCAAGGCAACTGAAACCTGTTGTAAATTTTAAAAATTTTCCAGACAAAAATATGCTTTTGTTTCGTGTTGAGTTTGCTTTTGTGTTTTACTTTGTCCTTTCATCAGGTCTTTGAAGTAAGATGGGGTGAAGTTGCCTCTAACAAATTCACAACTGACACTGTTAATCAACGAGGTGTCTTACATGTATCTCCTATTTCATTTTTGATGTATTTAGATGGTTTGATTGATAAGTTAAAAAAAAATAGTGGTGGTGTTGGTTGTAACATAGCAGAGTATTGAGCTGGTTGTCTGGCCTATGCAGACAATATTTCTGTGCTTGCACCAACCTGAAAGGGCCTTCAATCGATGATCACTATTTGTGAAAATTGTGCAACCGAGTTTGATATTCTTTTTCAATGGTTCCAAGTGTCAGCTTTTAGCTTTTAGGAGGGGTAGCTGCCAAATTTACAGCTGACAACACGTTTAATACAAACAAAGTTATGCATTTAGGACAAAACATATAGATAGTCCAGATAATCTGGTCACAAAGGCCAATACTAATTTTTGGAGCACTTGAAATATGTTCAGAGCTGAATTTGTCCACTAATCTCACGGTGCAAGCTGAATTTGTCCACTAATCTCACGGTGCAAGCTTTTTAACCAGTTGTGTTGTTGCTTTTATGGTGCCCCTCTCAATTTGGGGCTTTTATCCAACTCAACGTGTAAGCGTTCCTGTGTTCAGTGGAGGAAGGGTTTAGTTAAATGCGGCACCTGCAACCTTTGACACAGAGTTGACATTGCTGCTTTACTGTTCAATAGTCTCCCACTCAAAATTGGGATTTAATGTAAGCTGTAGTCATACTCTGTGTGGCATTATGTAACCTGTGTTCAAAGTTTGGAAGAATACGACTGAATTAAACTAAAGGGCTCCTTTAAAACATGGCTTGATACAGTGACTTCAAATGTGAGATTTATGTATTTATTCTCAGGGATATGATCGCTGTTAGAGACGGCAATGTGGACTCTCTAATTTTTTCAATGTCACTGATGTTATTGACATTATCAAGGACACAATGTGTAAATTAATCAGTTTCTTGTGGAACTTTTCTGGGAGGTAACTGGGAGGGTGATAACTTTTTTCACTGCGCTACAAAATTGTGCAAATAAAGATATTACATTGAGTAAACAAACAAGCCTATGCGATACCGAGGCTGGCAAATTTGAGAGCATGTTCTTCAAAACACAGTAACAGCTACTGAGCTACATGTAGAAACAGTCTTACAGGTTCACCAACTGGGGCTGTTTTTTGGGGTTTTTTTCTTGAATTTCAAGGGTTACAAGGCACTCAATCTTTACAAGGAAAGGGCGCCTGGTCCACAAATAGTCTTTAAATGCAACTCCTCGAAGCTTTATAGTCAGATCAATTTACCTTTCTTCTTCTTCTGCATCTCGAGGCATCGATCGTTGATCAAACTCAATGATTTCAGCTTCTTCACAGCTTCATTGATGCACAAGTTCTGCAGGAGGGGAAGCATCATTAAACAACTTTCATTTTTACTCTTCGGGACCCTTATTTCGGTTGTTAAAAATGAAATCACTTCAAAGAATTGCAAATAAACTAGCAATCTATTATTGAGCTTTTGAAAAATCCACAATTTGGCCGGACAGATATAGATGTCCGGATTTTTTTTTACTTTTGATTGAAAAAAGAACACAAAAATAATACAGAAACACAATTAAAATTTGGAATTGCTGAACTGTTAAAACCAAAACAATTCTGATTAAAACCTCCAGTGCAATGCTGTCTACAACTTTCTCATTGTCTTTGGTAAGTCGAGAGAGCCCAAAACCCACAGGCATCATTGAGCTAGCCATTTTAGCCAGTCACAGTGCTGGCAACATGAAAGGTTTGTCACAACCCTAGGAAAAATTTGTCCATCAAACGCACAGCAAAAGTTGTCATTTAAACTCCCAAGACATACATGACCATGGAAGAATTACGAATTCCGCAGGCAAAGTTGACTGCAAAGAGCCCAATATTACTGAAATGCGAGTTCTTTCCTGTGAACAAAATGTGGCGTTCAAACATATAGGGCGCTAAGACTTTTTGCCTTGTCGTCTACTGACCTGTCTTGATCCTAGCGTCACCACTTTGGTTGTTTCTCCAAAAGGACTCTTCTGAACCTCGTGAACAAATTGACTCAGTTGGGAATGGGTACGGCTACAGTAGAATATCTACCCAAAAAAGCCAGAAAGAACATGAGTATTATGAGATATGGAGTACCGAGTACCGAAGTGAATACGTCACGCGCACAATTAGTGTGTAAAAGGCATTAGCGCGAGAGCCAGCGCGTGAACCAACACGCGCGCGTACTCCATTCACTTGCACTGCACTTTCTGGTTCACAGTGACGTCACACTTCGGTACTCTATACGGTTTGTCGCCCAAAATGGAGTGAGCAAGTACTACTTCACCCAAAATTGGGGGGGGACACCCCGTCACACTTTCTGTCTGCCATGATGCTTTCTAGTTACCTTGGTAACATGGGGTTCTCCCTCTTCCTCCTCCTCCTCCTCCGAGTCACTGGTTGATCTGGTCTCCTCATCGCTATGGTAATCGGCCACAAGGATGCTTTCATCGTCAGCGTCGGGCGGCTTGAGGATGTTGTCGTTCTCGTCTGAAGGATGGGGCAGGTCAAACTCACCTGGCGGACCAAGTCGCTGAAGAGAAAGGAAAAAGAGATGAATTTAGAAAAAAAACCGTGAAGTGTGCAGTGTTATAACAAGATACATCATGTGCATATTAAGCAACGAGGCAAATTTCATGACGTTCACCAGCGTAGTTTCAATTCGATCACAGTGAGATAAATAGACCAGGAGCCGATTTCACGAAATGTGGCGTAACTTTGCACCATGTGTAAGCCTTGCACAATTAATTCGTGCCGTACATGTAGCTGCGCAATATACTTAATGTTTGATTTCACAAAAGTTGCTTAGCTGCAGAATGTTTTGATCACATTAAATTTCTTAGACAAGGACAATAACGGCCTTTAGGACAGCTTTTCCTTTGCAATATTACAGTAGTCATCAAATAGTCGTCAAATTACCTCCGCCAGCCATTTTGAAAAAGCTTTCAATTTTTTTCTTCGTCAGAACTGGACACAAAATTTTGAAAGTTCTCTCACAGCCCAAAAAGTTTATTACTTTTGAAAATAAAGCTGAACATTTCTCATGTAAGTCTTCAGCAATGATGAGCCTTAACCGAACACAATGAGTTAGTCAAGTCGTTCATTTTCGCTTTGTTCAGTGCAACTTACGCCACCTAAAATGATTGTGTAAATTACGCCATAACTTGTTGCGTACGTCACGGACATACCCAGCGCATAAGTTTCATGAAAATTGCTCTTGCTTCGTTGCGCAAAATACGTAACAAAATGTGGCATAAGTGACATTACGCCGTTACATTAACTTTTGTGAAATTGGTTGCAGGGTGCTACTGACACAATGCAACTCGGTAGAAAATGAGACAAGAAGTAGGCAGACACCTTGCGTTTGACAGTGGCCTTGTGTTTAAGTTCCTGTCTCATCTGCTGCAGTTTGGCTTCTCTCTTCATCAGCTGCTGCTGCTCTTCCTACAAACAGCATAAACGAAAAAAGGAAAATCTCACTATAACTGCCACTCCTGTAGGATATTCGTGAAAAGCACATGTGCTCAGTGCAACATAATTCCTCACGACATCTAACCACTTGTTTTGGGGTAATTTGTTAAATTTGTTTTGAATTTAAATTGTTACCTTGTTCCCATTCCTACTTTTACTAAATGATGCTTTCTTACTTTCCCTCTGAAAAAAATCAAAATCATTTCAGATGCAAACTCATGATCTTTCTAGGTGGGGGCAGATATTCATGTTCCTTTGCAAAAGTCTTCAAGAAGTTTACATTACATCCAACTTGCTTTTGTCTCGTACAAGTCTTGCTTCTCAAAATCACGTTACTACTTCACTATTTAGCTGTTACAGAACCACATGTACCTGTATATACAGGTGGTTACTGTGGGAAGTCAAAACATTGCTGGGACACACCAAAGCCCATACAAGCTCGTCCAAAAGGAAAATGACCCATAGCAAAAGAAAACATCCCCTACAAGCCAGCACCGGCCAGAGCATTTAAGAGGACATGAAAGGCAAGAGTGCAAAGGAAAACTACTTAAACTATGCTCCCAAATGGAGTTAAAGTCGATTCAACATTGACTTTAAGCCTTATTATCAAAGGAAATGCTAATGACCTTACATTAATTAAAACTGATGTAAACATCCTTGGAGTTCAACTCCGAAGAAGTCTATAAATGCATTTGAAAGTTTACATGAATGTTGCAGTGCAAGACAGATCTGGAGCTGCACAGGGGAGGGCACCGGTTTGCTCATTTGGAAACCCTGCAAAAAGATTAGGACTGAAGAAGAATTAGAATTCAGAAAGCTAGACTTACCATCAGCAAAGCAGCCTTTTCCATCTGTGCCCGCTTGTTGTCAAACTCCAGCACCCAGTCTGGCTCGGCACTGGAGGACGGCTTGGCTGGATTGCTCTTAGCCAAGTTGGAACTCCTGCATCACAAATGATGAAAGCAATACCATGATGACGGTTGAATTTTGGTCTCTGCCACTCGAACCAGGTGCCAGACCCCTAGCCATTTTGGGATGACTCTTCGAAGGAACTTGCCAATGGTATTATTCCAGAGCAATGCTATTATCCCACAACGAATTTATCCCTGGCATGGTATCATTTTAAGCCAAAAAAAAAACAAGATACCACTACCAAAGCCCTTGACTATTAAGGAGGACTTTGCAAGAGCTGACCCTTGGTGGTCATTTGTTCAAGATTGATATGGCATTTCTTGCCATGCTGTCACTTTTTTAAAATCCATGACAATATCAGAGCAATATTTACTAAAACATGTGGCCATGGCACACGGCCACTTGAGGGCTCCTCACACCGCTCGACCTCCACGGACTTGTTCAAGCCTGTGCGTTTGTACAAACTCACTGGGATTCACTAAAGCGGGGGGACGAGAATAGACGTCACCCAGTGCTGAACATTACGCCACAACATCTTGACGCTTCCTCCCTGTTCTGACACAGGAAATCGCTACACTGTCTGCACCTCATTGGGCCTGGACTGGTTAAGGATTTAAGACCACTCAGTCACACTTTATTCACATTATATTTTGTGCAACTGTCAGTACTTTTTATGGTGAAGCTATTTTGCTCATTAATGTTACTTCTTACTCTGTGAGACAGCATCTAGCATGCATATTAAAACCTCCTTCTATGGAAAGTGGTGCAAATGGCATGCCAGGGTTCCTGCACCTAAAAGGACAATTAAATTTCATGACTTTTCCATGACTTTTTCCACGACCAAAGTATGAAAATCCATGACCCAATAACACAATTTCTTGAACTATTTGGCTTTTTAAGTTGCAAATACAATCACACATTTTTATGCACTTATTTCTGAGAATAGAAATCCCACACGGTGTTTGAAAAATTGCATGACTTTTCCATGATGAGTCATTTTTTACAAAATTCCATGACTTTTCCAGGCCTGGAAAACATATTTCCATGACTTTTCCAGGCCGCGGGAAACCTGCATGCACTGGTGTGGCACAGAATGCAACTCTGCCAATGTAGAAGGATATTTCAACTCAATGAAGGAAATACCGACTCAATACATGGATTGGATTGCACATGCCTGTGCAATTTTAACAGGGCAATGTCGTGTTGCCAAAGCACATGCCCAAAGACGAGGCACTTCCGTGGTCGTTCAGGAGCAGCAATAAAATGAAATGGTTAAACCGACTGTACAGCTTCTGTATGTGTGAACAGAAATTTGAATTATGGAGGTTACGCACGGCAGCCATCGCCACGGTCGCATGCTTTTGTTATGGAAGATATGCACCAAAAGTCTGCTCATGTGTAACCCCATGGAACAAAACTGACCGGGAAGATGGCTGCCGTATATGACCTGTATACATGTACATGTACTACATGTAGCATTCTAATTCTTCAAGTGTAATCGCTGTGGTGAAGACTGTCACTCCCGCATCCCTATTCTGCTGTTCCAGCGCCAACTGACTTCAAGGTGCATATTCATGGCCAGTTATGACCGACGGATGCCTGAATTTTTCTTTGAATGGAAACATCAATCCTAAAAAGCGAGAGTGAGAAACTGCTTTCTTTACACCTACCCTGGGGTCCCTCTTTCCCCTTTAAGTATAGCCTCCACTTCCAGCCGCTGTTGTGTCTGGTGGTCACTCAGCCACTTCAGAGCGCCACAGATCAAGCTGAGTGACTTGCCCTGGTGGTGAATAACATGCCAGTACAGTACATTCAAAAGAATGAGACTTTTCTGAGTATGTTTATGCATAAATGGTTCGGCGCCTCCTAAACTACAATAATAACTTGGTTATTTTCATGATCACATGCACACTGGCATTTTGATTTAAGGATAAGTTGCACAATATTACCATAAAATTCAGTTAAAATATTTCAATTTTTCAATAGCAAGTCTTTGAAGCATGTTCATCCGCACTGATCCCAGTCCCACGGCCACACAATGCATACCTTGGAACCAACTTGCCAAATAATTATGGGGTGGAAAAACAGATTTTGAAATACACTGTATCTAGGGGAATATTTTTTTTTAAAAAGTCTACAATACATGTAAAAGATTTCTTGTTTATGTTCAAAGGTTGTTCTGAACCTTTGGGATAACGACAGAACTTGAAATTGTACATGTAGAAATGCATTTTTCTTGTTTTTGGACGACTTTTCAGTTTTTGTCAGAATTGTGAAGGTTACACATAAAACATATAGGCTTCAGATACCCAGGTACCCATGTTTTAGTTCGATGGGGTGCCTGGTTCCTGTACTACCTGTAAACCACAGCACTAGTGATGCCATGAATGAGACAGCACCATGCTGGTTCACTGAAACAAAACACTAACATTAGAGGCAAGTTCACTTGTACAACAGCTAGACCAATCGCTAAGGCCTCTCTGGACAATTGGTAGGAATTTTTCACAATTTCTAACATTTTTTCTCCAAATGACTTCTACATCCTTGAATTATGTGATGACTTCCATAGGCTACAAAGGTCCTTTTGGACTTGTCTACACACTTTGTAAAAGAGTAAAAAAAAATGGAGTGCAAACAAAATTGTGAACCCCTCGGTGAAAATGAGTCATAAGGCCACACTTTAGTCACTTTGTTCCAGTTTGCATTAGAAAGTGAAAGGCCAGCTCTTTGCTTTGATGTATCACCCTCTTTGCATCCTGATGCAAAGGGACATTGTGCGGGTGAAAAAGGCTGACACATAGGCTGTGTTTGTTTCACACGGATCAGGATCACGATCAGTGATCCATTGTTGGTTTACGGACACCAAAACATGCCTAATAGATGGTGCGAACCAGCGTTTGAATCACTGACTGAGATCTGGTTCCATGTGAAACAAACAGGCCCTTAATATTGGTTCCATGGTACAAGATTACAAAGCCTGTCACTCAAAAGCATCTCTGGCATTTTTAGACTCGTTTACACAGACCTGGTTATGAATGTATGGTACAGATGTCCTAAGATCTGGGTCCTAAAGTTGTGGTCCAATTATTTTTCATGCCCACCACATCTGACGGGTAATTTTGTAAGTTTAGAACTCAATCTCAAATTTCCAAGAATGATTAAGTAGTAAAAATTACCTGAAAACAAATTGAAAGTAATTTCAATCATTTTCAGTGATACTGACACGTCCAAGTCAAATTACATGTCAGGCACAACAGGGGAACAAAACTGTCCCATGTTTGGAAACCAAGGTTACAGAAGGAACCACTGTGCCCCTTGCGGGGTGTGGTGGTCAAGTGGCCAGATTCGTTTATAAATAACTTACTGTCCCTGTGGGGCTTTCAAATATCCCAATCTTGCCCTCCTCTATAGTCCTGTACAGTGCCCTCATGAAGTCCTCTTGGATGGGGTAGGGGTCAAAGGGGAAGGGAAAAATCGGCCGTATGCCTTCATCGTCTGCATCCATGTCATCGCAAGCCGAGCTCATGGACACATCGGGGTCTACGCTTACTGGTGCGGGAGGCGATTGAGTGGCTGCCATGATGTCTCCAAGCTCAAATCCCAAGGCAACTCCCGACCTCATGTACGCGGAACACCTGCAGAATTAAAAATAAAGGAAACTTTATCAATTTTTTTTTTCAAATGTCTGCATGACTTCAACACCTGGCCCCGAGTATTTCACCAGGAAAGTTTGATGCGTCATTTCCAAATCTCAAATTCAAGAAATGGTCCACAAGATTTTTCCTAAGCCCGCTTTATGTGCAGGTTTACTCTTCTTCAATGTTACAAATTACTTGGCATTGCTTTGGGGTCAAATGTAATTGAAAAGTGCACTCTGTGAAACATTCAATATTGTCCATGCTTTTCAAGACAACTGAGGGCGCTGTGATACCATTCAGGAAATTTACACTGTGAACATCAGTATCTCTGCAGTGAATGAAACCAAACGATAGAGCCAAGTCCTACACAGATGATATATGCACATGTATTGAACTTTTGAAAAGACCTGCAGAATGAAAGTCAACTTTATCCACAATTTTTTTTTTTTACTTTCTGCAGCACCAGATCCTGAGTATTTCACCACAGTGCAGTGAATGGCCTACGTGTAGGTATGTACCTTAAATGGCAACATGTCCATGTGGTTACATTCCCTGCGATGCAGGCTGTCTGTTTAATATGCATGCATGGGTACATTTGGACTTTTTTGGGGGGGGGGGAAGGGAGCCAACTTCCCCATAACCATACATTGGTCTGACTGGTAGGGATTTCCCTTCAGGATTTCCGACAATGAGTGAATGTGCACACCATGGAAAGTGCCCGGGGCAATTTATATTTCTGGCGACATGAATGAGGAATTGAACCTGCGATGCATGACACCAGTGAATTGTCCAAAATGCTTTAAGTGCAGTGACTGTCTGGTAAGATGGGTTTCCAGCAAAAACACTTGCTTGGATACTTTAATAAACAGATTGGGAGACAGCGGAGGGGCCCCACTTGTTTGTTTTACTTAGATTACATTCTAGACTAATAAGCCATTTGCGAGTTAAATTTGAATAAAATCTGGTGCACTGAGTTATCCGACTGCACATAAACATAACGATTTGAATTCCCCAGACTAAAGACACTGTTTTACCTCGTGATTCGGGGCAAGCTTTCGCACATGAACTGGTTCCTTTGTGCCCTTCTTATTAAGAACAGTGTATTGTTGCAAGGCGTCTCTTATGTAACTAAGCAAAGCTTGCCCTGAATCACCAGGTATAGCAAGGTATTCAAGCCACCAAAATAATAACTGGTGACAATCCAGCCTGTTGTGCCCACGATGAAAACAGAAACACTGCATGTACATCAAGAACCATACATCTTGGAGACAGACACACAACAACTTCAAATCAATGCAAATTCTCTTTCAGGGATGCGCACCTGTTGGCAGTAAGTTGGATTTCATCCTTGTCCTGGGTCTGGGGGGGGCAGAGGGAGAAACAAACTGGATTTTTTTTTCAAGGAACAACTGTCCAAATCTTCCATCCATAAAGAGTCCTATTAACCCCCCCCCGCCTTCTTACATGTTGGCACTTTCCATTCCTTAGAAAAATTCAACAGATTTGAAATTAAAAAACAAAATAAAATTGGCAACATGTCTTGCGGGGAAGGGGACCAACTTGTCCCTCTACCAACCCCCCCCCTGAATACACAATGGGAGGCTTCAAGACACTTGGTAGAAGCAGACAAACTGGTCCTTTTCCAAGCTTGTGCACAAGCCCAAGATTACTAAGCATGCCCACAACTGCCCGGGCATGCCCAGAACTGGCAAGAAGGAGCGGGGTGTCTGCCGCCACTGAGCATTTCTAAAGCCTCGCCCAAAACTCATCAAAGATATGTTCAACATCAGCTCATATCTCCAAATTCCAAAACAGCCTGTAGGCCTACATGTACACGTATTTAAAATCTGCAAGACAAGCATATTGCACAGGCAGAAATGACACCTGTTGCCCACATTCACCCATTCTGTGCACAAAGACGGGAAAAGGGGTGCATATGTTGGCATCTGACTGGCACAAAGGGGGACGTACATGTAGATACATGTATGTACCCATTCTTCTCCTGGGCTTCAACAACATGATCAAATGTAGGTCCCAACCACCCCCCTTCTCACAGTGGCACAACCCATGAATGCATTCAATTCAAATAACATTCAGCAATGTACAATGTGCTGTCGCCAGTTTACACTTCGACAACCAAAGCATGGTATTCATAATTCATAACATGAAATGATACGGGTATGAACGCTCCCGCGCCAACATCACATGATCGACACAAGAGCTGACAAGAAGAACAGGTAAGTGAGACGGCACATGCATATTATTTGTAACAAATGTGCAGATTATTCAGGGCACTCACACACTTTTAGGCATTAGACACTCCGAGTCTCCTTTTTAACTTCTATAGAATCTGCCTACTTTTTTTAAACTACAGTTGAGGAAAGCAACAGTTGAACAGCTGGCTGACAGAAATCAAATAGGCTTCCCTGTACATTCTATTAATGCCTTCAACTTCATGACTCCCCAGAAAGTGTTAAAGGGCCCCAGTCAAAAAATTGGGAGGAGACACCAGTTCCCCCCCCTGGTTCAGCTATCAGTGTCTTTGATATGTGTTTGCTTTTGTAAAGGACGGCAACTAAACATGTGCACTGTGGCCTTGGCACAATCACAGTAATTTATATTCTTACTCACTTACTGAGTATCACTGATCACGTTTTTGGGTGATACATTTCAAATCATTGGTTGTCTTGATCAATTTTTGATGAACATATAAAGTGTAGTGAGAATATTTTCAGCAACGAGGAAGAAAAAAACACTGAATTTATAGCCGCCACATTGAGCGAGCTTAAGCGCCTGGCAAAAAGTACCCACAATGCTCTGTGCATCATTAACTGTGATACCATGTGACAGATTTCCTTCACTAAAATCTGTGCATGGCCATTAGCCCTTCCCAGCGTCCTGTTCGGGTGCTGGGTGACGAGTGAAGTGTGTCACGTTGTAATGTGTTCAAGAATGAGCAATGCAATCTTCACTCATCACCCAGTACCCATAAAAACTATCAATAAAAAATGCAGTACTCAAATTTTTTTCTCAAGTACAAGGGTCAAGTACCGAGTAGGAGGGTCAGGTATGCCCAAAATCCGAGTACAAGGAATCCAGTCCAGGCGCAATTAATTTTTGAGTACTGATATTCAAGTACAGGTCGAGTACTTTGGCATACTCGAGGGGATCAGGTCAACTCGGATCCAAACCAACTCGGACCCAAACCAACTCGGACCCATGCCAACTCGGACCCAGGACCAACTGGACCCACGCCAACTCGGACCCAATACTACCTCGAATCCACGACCATCTCGGACCCACAACCAACTCGGACCCACGCCAACTCGGACCCACCTCGAGTCAACTCGGACCCACTGAGTCTTATGGTTGCACTACACCAAATACTTTTTGTGAAAGAAATATTCTGCATCGGAAACTATCAATCCCAAATTTGGGATTTATATAAATAATTCTATGATCCCTCGTGATTACGGCCGTCTTATTGTAAAAAATAAAAAAACATGGGATCACAAAATATTAATGATGAGCTTGCGAGCAGACATACGCTTCAAAACTGTCTCCAAGTTTAAGACAATAGGAAATACTCCACATTTTTATTTTAAAATGATCTGACTTGTGTAGTTCGAAACTGCCAACCTATTTGCGTTTTTGGACACTCACTTTAGGCCTCCATGGATGAATTCCTCCATCTGCCTAATTTTTGCCGGTACTCAGGGGGAGGGGGGGAATGGGGCAAGGTGGAGGTGTACGACTTGCCAGGCCAAAAAAATTGAAGAGCGAGGTGGCCGGGGGGGATAACAGCATGAGACGTTATAAAAGATCAATGTTCGTGGTATTGATGTACATCTGCAGTATGTGTTGTACGCATGCAGCATCTCTTATGTTCATCAGACTAGGGCCTATCTGTGGCTTTTATTGCAACAAAAACTTTGGGGGCTGTTTGGCGAAAGTTTATTCGATTTCTTCTGGTGATCTGGGGTGCCAAAAAAAACTTCTGAGAAAGAGCGTCAATGATTTGGTACTATCAATCACACTCCAAAAGCTGCTCCCATTGGTTGTCCCAAGCTCCCACTCCCCGATCACAGGGTTTCAAGAATGGAAGGTGACAAAATCTGATATCAAATCTAGTCCTCACGGTACGGTTTTCAACCACCATGCCTGTTCAAACTCGAAAACGGAGAAGTTCTGGGAAGCCTGTGTCACTGTTTCCCTGCATTACGTGTAGAGAGGACGTTACATCTTGGCAGCATGCAGTGTAAAAGTGTCATTTACCAAATGCTAAAATGTAAATGTGGACAAAATAAAAATTTTCAAAAAGTAAATCACGCTCCTGGGGTTGGGTCCGAGTTGACTCAGGGTGGGTCCGAATTGGTCGTAGGTCCGAGTTAGTATTGGGTCCGAGTTGGTTGTGGGTCCGAGTTGGTCGTGGGTCCGGGTTAGTATTGGGGCCGAGTTGGCATGGGTCCGAGTTGGTCGTGGGTCCGAGTTGGCGGAAGCAACTTAATACTAGCCCGTGAAACCTGGTGCACTACTTTTTTTCAGTAGCTGGGGTGACCAATGATTCATGAAGAGGGGGCAATGCGATACACCATTTGAGACATTTCAAAACGGAATCCAT